ATTCCCTTCTCTCTTCTCGTTCTGGAAACCCCATAATGCAGATGTTGGCACATTTTATATTATCCCATAGATCTCATATGTTGCTTTCATTTTGCTGTACTGATTCAATAATTTCCATTTTTTAATCTTCCAGATCATTTATGTGTTCTGTGTCATTTAGTCCGCTATTCATTGCTTTTAGGGTGCTTTGTATCTAAAATGGAATTATTTTTGATTGGGTCTTTTTATAGTTTTTGTTACAATGATCTGTGCTTAGATCAACTCTTTCTTCATTCAGTTAGCATTTGAACTCATTGTTACCTCTGTTTCATTACTTTTTCAGGGGGATTCTCTTGCTCTTTCCATTGGGAATAGTTCCTCTGCTTTTTCATTTTACTTAACTTTCTCTGCTCTGTCTCAATGAATTTAGGTGAAACAGTTACCTATTGTGGTCTTGAAGGGGTGTTTTTATGTGGGAGTGTCCCCATGTAGACTGTGTGTGCCCAGTGTTTTTGGTGTGAGGACGGGTTTTGATGTGGATGCCAGTCATATCTTCTTCAGGATGTGCTGGCCTCTATCACCTTGATGGGGGTGTGGCTAGAATTGAAAGAGCTAGAGCCTGCACAGGGTGTGATGCAGGACTTCCTCTCTGCTCAGTGGCCATCACATAGGGCAGGGGGCTGCTCCTAAGTTGCTGGAGTGAATGCCCTGAGGGTCAGGCTCAAGCTGGCTCTGTTCCCTTTAAGTGTATGTTTTTCCCTCTCCCTGCACTGGGGCTTGTGCACTTACAGAGGTCCAATGACACTGCCTGTGTAGGCAGCTGCAGCTTTGCTCAGATGCAGCCCAAGGTCATGTCTTTTCCCCTTTGTGGTCATCCCAGATCTAGTGCAAGGTTGTGGTGTGGAGTGGGTGGGGCTGGAGCATTTGCTCAGCTAGCACTAGGGGTCATGGCATTATGGCTGTGGGAAGCAGCTATGCTGCCATCAGACGTCTGGGCTGCTTCTGTAGTGCTGTTTTAGTAAGTGCTAATAGTGGCTGCTGCTGCCCTACCTGGACCACCCCCCAGGTTCCTGGCCCACCTCTGCATCTCTAGATCGAGTCTTCTCCCAGGACCTGGCTGCCCTGGATCTAGTGCCAGGATGTGGTGTGGAATGAGTGGGGCTGGGGTAGAGAGTGTGGTGACACCACCATGCTAGGCATACCTCGCTTTGCCCTCTCCGGTGGTAAGCAAGCACCCATGCACTCCTCACAACTGGAGTCTAGGGTTCTCCAGCCTTTCTAGCAGTTCTCCAAGCAGCCAGTGGGGCTTGTCTCCTTTTTCCTCGTAGTCCCCTCCCGTGGACTCTGTCCTGATGCTTTTTTCCCCCATCCTCTGTGATTACATGGGAATCTTTCTTGCAGCCTTGATTGTACAGGAGTTCTCCTGCCAGTTTCCAGTTAGTTTTCCACAAGACTTGTTCCACATGTAGATGTATTTTTGATGTGTTTGTGGGGGAGGTAAGCTCCACGTCCTCTTACCCTGCCATCTTGATGATTTGTTTGATATTCACATATTAATCCTTTCCAGCTACCATCACTCTATGGACTGGGTCTCACTAAGGTAACCAATAGCCTCTATAAACCTGAACTTAAATGACAGTTTTTAGCCCTTGTCTTTCCTGACCCTCACAGGCATTTGGCTGTCCTGTCCTGCCCTCTCCCTCCTCCTTGAAACACCACCTTCCCTTGGTTTGATATTATGCTCTCTGGTTTCTTTCCTACATCTGGCCACTCCATCTCTTTTTTATATCCTCCTCCATGTGACCTCCAAATAATGGATTTCCTCCAGGCTTGGCCCTCTTCCCCAGAAGAACCTCATCTATCCCTGGCCTCATTCATGTCATTGAGCTGGGCCAGACCACTCCACTGTGGAGCCACTTACCTACTTGACACCTTCATCTGGACACCTCCCAGGTACCTCAAAGTGGGCACATCTCCCTAGGGTTCCCTAGCTCCATGAATGGTACAACTCTACATCCAATTGTGCAAGTTAGTAACCTGGGGGTCAACCTTCATCCTCATCTTCATATTTATCACAGAGTTCTGTTTTATTCCTTCAATAGCCGTAGAATGGGCTCCCTGGAACCTCTCCATATGTTCAGCACCACCATTCTGACCTAAGCACCCATCATCTCTTCTCTGGCTCACTGCAGTGTCCTACTGACCGTCCGTTTACATGGCCTCTGGCCTCCTCGAATCCACTTTCCTAGAAGAGCCAGAGTGGTCTTTTTACAATGCACATCTGATCACATCCCTCTTTGCTTCAAACTGTTCAATGACTTTCCATTGCTTTTAGGATAAAGACCAAAATACTCAACATGACCCACAGATATTTTATGGTCTGGTCTCCGCCTGTCTCCTCTTCCACACTGTCTGAACCAGCTTCTTGCTGTTCTTCAAGGGCACCATGTTCTTTCCTGCCTCAGAGGCTTTGCTCGTGCTATTTCCCTACCTGGAACACTTTCAGCTGCTGAACTCCTATTCATCCTTCATGGCTCAGTTTAAATGCCACTTCCTTAGGGAGACCTTCCCTGAAACCCCATCTGTATTAGGTTCCCTTCTTAGCTTTCCCCTTTCTAGCACTCATCATGATTGTAATTAAATAATTACTTGAATGATTTTTTTCCTTAACTGTGTCTTCCTCACTAGAGGGTATACCCATGAGGGCAGGTCCATTTTGGGACCAGCATCATGCCTGGCACACAAGCACTTTGTTGTTCAACAAATGAAGATGCGGTGCTTTCCCTGGGGACTCAGCAGTGACCATGACACAGGCCCTGCCCTCAAGGAGCTACAGTCTAGAGGAGACAGCCTCACAGGAAGTTATTACAATGGAGTGCAGTAAATGCTATAATATACAATACCATGTCATTGAACACTGCTAACTTCTGTCTTTGAAGACTGAGGGACTTCAGACCTCTTTTCAGACAGGGACAAGGTAGAAATAAATGTCAGTACAAATAGTGAGTCCAAAGAGATGGTCCAAGGTCATCTGTGCCAGTGTGGCCCCTGGCAGAGCTGCTCCCTCATCTCCACTCCCCTGCTGGCTCAACCCCTGGACAGGGCCAACACAGCCAGTACCCTCACAGAGCCCAGTCCCAGGGAGTCAGACACCTGGGATGAGCCAGGGGCTAAAGTGAAGATACTCCTGGGCCAGCACCTGAGCCCTCCTCCTTGTCCTCTTTCCGAGTCCTCCCTGACACCAGTGCCGCTTTCAGGCTCTGCAGAGCATGCCTTGAAGATTGACACCTGGTCCTACACAAATAGTTCCTTGTAGGAACAGCGGTTGTCTGTTGGTAGGTGACAAAGGCCCATTTCGAGCTTGACGGACTTAAAGCAGCTGCATATCCTTACAGCCGTCCTCACCAGCCCCTGAGAAGGGTGGAAGCCAGCTGTACTCCACAGACTGTCCTGCAGCCTGGCCTCCCCTCCTCTCTGCCCCCCTCCTCTGCCTGCTGTCCTCAAACAACAGAGTCAGCAG